CCTCCCCCCCCCCTCCTCCACCACCACCACTTCTTGTTCGTTTGGGTTCTTTTCGTTATTTTTCTGTTGTCGTTGTTGTTGACGAGAGCCTAGGTTTTCTTTGGCTAGTAAGAGTGGTTGATGTTCAGGGTACTATGTGAAAAGCACAGCGCTGGTAGGCAGGCTTATTCCGATTTGGTTTGGGTATTTTTAGTTGAATAATATAAATTATTTAATCTTCCATAACATATTACAAGAAAATTGGTGTCTTCCAGATAGCTGTCGTGATAGATTATAAATGCATTATCTGCAGTGAAATTCTGAACTCATCCCTTCTTTCGTAGGAGTAAGAGAATATAAATATAATTAGCGATGTAACACACTTGTCTTAGGAAGTAGGAGGACTGGTCACCATCGGGTCTTTGGTCTGCTTTTTCCATCTGGGCAAACGGATCTTGCGTGATGGGAAGAGAGCAGCGGAGGGACGCGTGCCCTGGTAGCGTCTCGCACCTCTTGGGGAAAAATGACGTGCTCCCCATCAGCCATGTCCTGGGGCTGTGCGAGGGAGAAGGCAGTTCCTTCCTTGCATGCAACCGTTTGCGGGAAGGGAAGTGCTGGGCAGTTGGTGAAAGAAGCAAGGAGATGTCCAAGGGTTGATCTGAAGAGCTTTTCCAGCTCTAGGGCTTAGTCTGAAGAGTTTCTCCAGGTCCAGGGGTTGGTCTGAAGATCTTCTTTATGTCCAAGGATTGGTCTGAAGAACTTCTCCAGGCCCAAGGGTTGGTCTGAAGATCTTCTCCAGGCCCAAGGGTTGGTCTGAAGAGGTTCTGCAGGTCCAAGGGTTGGTCTGAAGAGGTTCTGCAGGTCCAAGGATTGGTCTGAAGAGGTTCTGCAGGTCCAAGGGTTGGCCTGAAGAAATTCTCCAGGCCCAGGGGTTGGTCTGAAGATCTTCTCCAGGCCCAGGGGTTGGTCTGAAGAGCTTCTCCAGGTCCAGGGGTTGGTCTGAAGATCTTCTCCAGGCCCAGGGGTTGGTCTGAAGAGCTTCTCCAGGTCCAGGGGTTGGTCTGAAGAGTTTCTGCAGGTCCAAGGATTGGTCTGAAGAGCTTCTTCAGGTCCAAGGGTTGGCCTGAAGAGCTTCTCCAGGTCCAAGCGTTGGTCTGAAGACCTTCTCCAGGTCTAGATGTTGGTCTGAAGAGTTTCTCCAGAGTCTGGTGGTGTGGGGAAAGAGGGTGGCTGGTTGATATAGAGTCTCCTAGGCAGGGCGAGGGGGCATGTCACCCACACCATCGGCAGGGCTGAGACCAAACCACAATGCCTCCTTGGTGATTGGGGTGGTGCACTGTTCTTTGGGTTACAGCTGGGCTCGGAGGCTGAGGTGAAATGTTCATCCAGGCACAAATCCTGGAACCACAGAGAAAGGCTGGAGGGGGGGATGATGTCCAGCTGCTCCGCTTGGTGAGCATGGAGAAGCAGGGGGAAGAGGAAGCAATAGCAATAAACATGTCGCCTTCTTCATGGGAGGCACCTGAGAAAAGGCAAGAGCAAGGAAGGTGATCCACGGTTGACGTGGACCAGACTGGGAGACAATGGGCGTGCAGAGGCTGTGGTTTTTGGGGTTGTTTCTAGGGGGCTGGCTTACCCAAGGGCGTGAGGACGTGAAGCCGACCGCAGCTGGTGACATCCCGCCTCGGGGTGTCCAAGTAGAGCAATAAGTTGTCTCGACGGCAGCAATGAGAGTGTTCGTATTTGCAGCCGACGCTTGCGGCCAGTTTGAGTTATTTTAAAATCCTTATCCCTAAACCCAGTATAGACACAAGGTTTTTCTTCTTCTTCTTCTTCTTTTTTTTCCTAAGAGAAAAAACATCGTTGGGTTTTGATTTTTCCCTCAAGCGTGCCAAAAGAATTGCATTCATACGGAGACGTTTGCAACTCTCACGTCTCCTGGGCGCCGAGGTTGTCACAGCAGGCCACATCCAGAGCCTTTAAAGAGGTCAGATTTAGGAGATGTGTGGATGGGAATCCCTCCTGGCGCTGCTTGGCGTGGGTTTCCAACCCATGTGTGGCGTTGAATCAACGCCCAGATGTCTCTGTCGGTTGCTCTGCTTTGGTCATGCCTGGCTCACATCTCCAGATGAACGTGAGGGCAGTGAGGACCAACTCTGGAGGGTCACCCTGACCAGGACACGGTGGTATAGAGGTCATACTGGAAGGTCTTTCAGAAGAGCAAGGTGACATGTTGTTGGTGCCTGGGTGAGACCTTCTTGCTCTTGGTGATGTCTCCCAGCTTGGCTTCTGCTGCCGCTGGGAGGAGCTACTGGAGCTCCTTCCCAGGAGCGTGGTCCAGATGGGGAGAAAAAAGCTTAGGGACCCAAGAGGACTTTTTCTACCACTGATTCGTCCCAGGTGGTTTGTCAGGTTGGGTGTTGGCACCAGCACTTCTGTATGTTTGGTTGGTTCTGCTGGTTTTAAAAGAAATCTAGCAAAGCTCTGATTGACCTTTCCAACCTCAAGGGGAACAAAGTGGGTGAAGACTGGACACCAGTGCTGTGGGGTGGGTGGATTTCTCCCGTGTCGTACTTTGGGTTGCACTTTGAGTTCATATAAAAGGAAAAGAGAAGGGAATAAAAAAAAAAAAAAAGCAAATAATCAGAGGGTTGCCCCATTTTGCTCGGCGAAGCCAAGGGTTAGCACCTAAAAAGCAACGAGAAATTTGGAAATAACAACACTACATCATCGTTCCACTATTTGTAGCACGCTGTGGTTAAACCTGGGCCAAAAAGAACCCCAATAGATCACAGGAACTGAAGACTTCTCAAATACCCTCTTTTGCTCTCACTGTTGACGTCACGTTACCTATCAGGAGTTGTCTATGAGCATTAAAACACAGAGAATAGAGTTAAGCTCTAGCCAGTGTAACGGCACCACGACTTGCAGGGTCCAACAAGCTTCATTAGCACAGCCCATGCTCTGCAGAGGAGGACCTTTCCCAGCAGATTTCCACCAGCAGACACCATCCTACCACTGGCCTGGGCACCCTTCACCCTTAACCGCATTAGAAACGACTGCTAAAATTTTGGCCCGTGGCTAGGAAGGAGATGCAAGGCTTTCTCCGCTAGAGGTGGGGTAGAAAGCTCCGGGAGCTTTCTTCATGGAGGATCACCCAGCGTTACCGCTAATGAGATCTGACATGGGATGGTTTAGTTTTAATTCCTTCGTTTGGATCAGTAGCAGATTTGATGCTCCTCATCCCATTATGCCCAGGCAGAAGTACTGATTAACTCAACCGGGGTGTGAAGAGGTGAAATATTTGCCGTCTGTTGGGCGAGAGGCTTTGGGGAGCAAATTTGGCAGCCGGTCTTGGGTTGAGGCTTGGAACCATTGCATGGCTCCAGGGCCACCACATGGCTGCAGGCTTGGGTAGCTCATTCCCAAGGTGGCTTCATGGGGCCCTGGTGGTGGGGAGATGCTGCCTGCCACCACGTGGGGATGTGGGGCTTGATGCCCCCCCAGCTCATACCAGCCAGAGGGGAAACCATCAGACCTGCAGCCCTGTCCCCTTCTCCATGGGGGGACATGTCTTTTCGGATAGAGGGATGGGAGGAAAGCCCATGATCCTAAGCCCGTTCCTTGGCCAGGTGGTGGCTTAAGTGAAGGTCCTGGGGAGGTCACAGCCCGGTGGGGGACTCCCTTGGTGGTGGGGACACTGATGGGGGCCACCAGCGTCTTAAATACTTCACTCTAACAAAGCTTTGCCCACATCGGTTAAGGAAAAGGGTTTCCCACGGCGAAGTATCCCACCGGGAGTTAACGGGGAAGAGCAGGAGGGCTTAAACCATCCAGGGGTTAAACCAGCACAGTGTCTCCGAGATGAAAATTCCGGCTAAAGAGGAAGGAAAAATAACTCTCAACCCTTTCTTATGACCATTAACCCATCCCTGCTGTCGTCTTTGCTTTAAAACACGACCTGTAATGCAAGATCTGGGGGGGGGGAAAGGGCATATTAAGAGTGGTGGTGGCCCCCCAAAGCCGTGCGAGCCCCTTGGAGCCTGTCCCCATCACGCCTCCAAGCGGCCGAACGCTCCGGGTGAGGATTCGCTCCTGCGTTTTATGAATCCTCATAACCCAGACCAGCCAGACCAGTTTTTTTTTTTCCTTTTTTTTTTTTTTTTTCCCCTGCAGTTTCAAGACGTAATTGCCAAACAGTGTTATTTCAGCGGTTCGTTTCAATGACGGACGTTTCAGGGTATCGGGTTTTCCCCCAACCATCCCGCTGAATGCGGTCCATCCCGCAGAGACCCCCCGCTCCCCTCCTCCCTTTGCCATCCCCTCCTGCATCCCGCCGGATGCATCCCCCTCGCCCCCCGCAGGGGATTCGGGATGATGCGGTCCCCGGCCGGAAGGTGTGAAATCCCATCTTGCTTTCCTAGAGGGAGAAACCCCCACATTTTGGGGGTTTTTTTTCGCTAGGAAAACCCAACCAGCAATAGCAATAAGAGCCGCTGGATACCCATAAATCCACATTTTGGGGTAGGTTTTTTGGGGGTTTTTTTTTTGGATTTTTC